CACACACACACACACACACACACACACACACACACACACACACACACTGTGTGGTTGCTCTGGGTTAATCCTTTGCAGTACGCGGCACTTGTTGCTCCTGGTCGTGGCCTCGTTCAGGCTGATTTTTGGCCTCTGTCTCTGGCAGCTCAGGGGAGGAGACCGAGGGAGAGAAGCACCTGCCACCGGGTTCTGCCCCATGGCCAGGTGGGGCGACGGGTCCCTCTTCCTGCCCAAAGCCAGACGGTTCCCATCTGTGCTGTCCCCAGGGGGAGCCGTGGGGTGATGGAGCAGGATCTGGGGGTGGGGGTACTTCCCACAGAGAGGGGTTGGGGGGGGCAGTTGCCACCATTTTAAGGCAGTGGGGTGGGGTGCGGGATGTGGGAAGGGAGAGGTGGCTGCGGCAGGATCTCTGCCTCGGAGGAGCCTCTCTCGGCCTGTCTCCGCATGGATGCCGGGAGTCTCCATGGTAGGATCGGGGTGGGGATCTCTGGGTTTCTGGCAGGGCAGGGGGTGTTAGTGTGGGTTTTGAGGGGAGCAGGTGGGGGGCATCAGCCCCTCCCTCTTCTCATGATATGTCACTTTGCTGAATGAATCCTGAGACCCTTCCCCTTGGCTGGAACAAGCTGTAAGGCCGGAAATGGAAAGGCAGAGCCCCTCCCCCGTAACCCGAATCCGAAGGACAGTAACCCCCCCCCACACCGCCACCCCACCTCCCTGAATCCGAAGAGCAGCGCCCCACTCTGCCATGTCCCGTCTGCCGCTGTCCCCCTTCTCCTGCAAGCTGCCCCTCTCCCCCCCCACCCGAATCCACAGGCCATGTGTGTCCCTCCCCCCCCAATCCCTCCCAGGCCAGTTGGAATCCCTTGTACTTCTGCACTTCATAGTCCCCTGTTCTGTTCTGCTCAGTTGTCCTGCGGGTACTGCCGTGGCATGGCCAGGTCACTGGGAGCCCCCCCAAATATCCTACCTAGCACCCCAGCTTTCCCCGGGCGCAGCTATCGCCAGGACTTCCCACGCCACCTGGGAAGCAGGAGAAGTTTTTGCTTCCTTCCCTGGAGTGCTGGGAGCCGCTAGGCGGGAGGCGAAGGGCAGGGGTGGGGCGTTCAGGGCTGTGGGTGTCGGGTCGGGGCAGCGGGCTCTTATCCCAGGGCTCAGACAGGCAGGCACCTGAGGCTGGACAAAGGGGCTGGCCTGTGAGGGACGATAGGCTGAGCCCTGGCCCGGATTCTGCGCTCAGTGTAGACCGGGAAGTTGGGTGGGCTTGCTCCGGATTTACGCCAGGGTAACTGAGAGCAGAACCCAGCCCGTAACCAGTATGGCTTGGCTGAACGTTGGCTGAGTCCGATGCCAGCTTCAGCTCCTCTACAGCAGTGACGCCTTGGGTTCCTGGCACCCCCATCTAGGGATCTCCAAGTGCTCACGATTTAAGCTGGGGTTTTGAAAAAGGCCTAAGGGAATTCCAGCTCCCAGTTAATTGAGTGCCTAGCCCCCTTAGGAGCCCCAAGCCCCACAGCACCCTATGAGGTAGCATCCTTCTTCTCATGTGACGAGACCAAGGCACAGAGGGGGGAAATTACATGCCCAAATACATCCAGTGGCTCTGCAGGATTAGAACCCAGGGCTCCATTGTCCCCAGGGCTGGGCTTGTCTCACCAGACCCATCTGGAAGGAGGGGCTTTGGGCAGAATTGTTCTCTGGGGGCCTGTAACTGGGAGAAACAGGAGGCAGTTAAGAAAAGGAAAATTCTGATTGTAACAGGGCAAGGCAGGGACTGTCCGTGTTTGTACAGCGCCTAGCACAATGGCTGCTAGATGGACTCAGGCTGAATATCAGGAAAACTGCCCGCCAGTGAGTTGGATGAGGCCGCGGCAGCCACATAAACCCCTAAGACGGAGGCAGGAATTATGTGCTAAGGTGAAAAATCACTATCACCTGGAACATTGAAAGTTAGATGCAGGTAGCTGGGCTTGCCGTGTGGTTGTAGCCGTGTTGCTCCCAGGATATGAGAGAGGCAAGGTGGGTGAGGTGATATCTTTTATTGGACCAACTTCTGTTGGTGAGAGAGACGAGCTTTCGAGCTACACAGAGCTCTTCTTCAGGTAGGTCGGCTTGGCAGAATTCGATTGTGACCGATAATATCGATGTTTATCTTTAAGCATTTATTTATTTTGATTGATTCCTTGGGGGGGGGTGCGTGTGGCGAAACTGACGTTTCTTGATAAAAATCTAATTCTTCCAAGTGTAATTGTAGAGGATGAACGTGGGCTAGATGGTGTCTAGTCGGTAAACCTGGTTGGAAGTTTTCCGACGAAAATTTTCCATCAGAAAACGCAGGGTTGTCAAACCGAAACGTCGCGTGGACCCGTCTCGATTGCACCCAAAATTGGCTTCAGCATGAACTGTTGCATTTTTTTTCTATATGAAATGGTTTTCGAGTCACATTTTTGGATAGTTCCATTTTTCAGGAAATGTTGAAATTGACCGTTTCCCTTCCGAGTTGGAACCAAACCAAAATGTCAGCATTTCCCCAGGACCGGAGAGTCCGAGTCCCAACCGGCTTTGGCTGGGGGGCGTCTCTAATGTTCCCGGTTTGCTGGATTGCCTTGCCCTGAGCTGTGCTTCTTGCCTGTAGCAGCAAAGCCAATCGGTCTGTTCTGGTGTCATTGGTCGTGAGTTTTCGTATTGGCAGAAGGGAGTGAGTGATGGCTCTGAATGATGATGACAATAATGACTGACACGTACATAGTTCAGTCAAAGTTCCCCATGCTCTTTCTGGCTGTGATCCTTATTTAACTCCTATGTTGCAGCAGTGCCTAGGGGGGAAACCAGGTTGAGGCCCCCTTCTGCTGGATGCTGCCCAAACGTATCCGATTCTCTCTCCCCTTTCTGCCAAATTCCCCCTCCCTTCTGCACACATTCTGTGTGCTTTATTGATCAGCTGATTCTATTGGTGTGAGTTCTCTCTTCTCCTCCCACTGAAATGCAACCACTTCTGGGGTGGACTGCGGCTGCCATTTAACACAAGCACTGATAAATGAGCTGTTCGGAACGGTCCTTAGCCCCAGAGGCCCGTGCGTTTCATGGCACGTCTGGACCCGAATCTACAGCAACATTTACGTTAGTGCATCTGGGTAACATCCCCTTGGTTCCCCTCCCTCCCACGCCCCAACACACATACACACACTGTAGCACCTGGTGGCAAATACTTGCTGGTGAACAATTCATTGAGGATTAATTTTGAGGATGGATTTTTTTGCTGCATTCTCCTGACAGCTTGTTCTATGGGCCAACGTAATTATGATGCAGTCCGGGCAGCCTGGCTTAGAATCTCCTTCCCACACCCTGAAGGTAGGTGTGTGTATTTTCAGCGGTTCAGCTTCTCAGCTCCCCAGGCCTTCACTGCTCTGTTCACTACCCAGCCTGCCCTTTGCTACCCCGTGCTCCCTGGCAGTAAACTGTATGCTGTCTCTATCTATCTATCTATCTATCATCCTTACATGACCGCCGTTACCATAATCTCTGAGCACCTCACAATCTTTAATGTATTTATCCTTCCACGACTCCTGTGAGTAAGGGCGGTGCTAACACCCTCATTTTAGAGACGGGGAAACTGAGGCACCAAGTGGCTAAGTAACTTGCCCGGGGTCACCTAGGAAGTCTGTGGCGGAGCATGGGATTAAATCAGTCTGCTATGTCCACAACCCAGCCTGAATTTAGCGTTCTTGCTAGGGTTTACCTTGACCAGCTAAACACGTGTTAAAACCACCCTTTGCCTCGTGTACGCCAAGATTTTAACACATTGATGATCCCGTGTTTAAAAAACACGCCTCTTTCCCCAGTGAAGACAAAGCCTTAGGGGGTGGGAGAGTGTGAGAAGGGTGTGTGTGGGTGTGTGTGTGTGAGAGAGAGCCTGCATGTGCAGCACATGCATGACGCTTGCATAGGGGCCCTCTGTACATGCCTGTGTGTGGCGTGCTGAATGCGTGTCCACCCACTGTGTGCTGGTGAAATCCCGTGTACAGCGTGTGCTTGTAGAAGGAGCTGTGCAAGTGTGTGACGCTCTGGGAAGGCGTGCGTGTGTGAGTGTGTATGGTTGTGAGCACGTGTCCCTGCCACGTGTGACTACGTGATCCTGCCTGTGCGGACTGTGTGACAGTGCGTGAGTGGATGTGTGTGGGTACGGTCAAGGCTGAGGGGCTGCCGGGGCGTTGGGATGGAGCCCCAGGGGCCGTGGGTCAGGACCGAGGAGCATCAGCAGAGGTGGGTGGGAGGAGCCCAGGGGCAGCTGCAGGTGGGGATTGAGGGCTAGAGATGGGTCTGAGGAGCCCAGGGCTGGCACAGCAGGGCAGGCTGTGGGCTGGGATTGAAGGGCATTGACAGAGCTATTCGGGGGACTCAGGACTGGGATAGCAGGGGGTGCTGCAGGTTAAACCTGAGAGATCCGTGCATCCGCTGTGCTCATGTACGAATAGGGGCAGCTCTTGCCTATTCAGTAGCACCCGGACCCCCACACCTGCCCAACACGCTCTTCTGTTGACCCCCGATGACCCAGGTTCCTGGTGCGGCCCATGCGGGTCGGCTAACTGGGACCCTCACAGAATCCCTGGCCTCGGCCTTTGCTTAGAGCCTAACAATTCCCCGGCTCCCCTGCTGCCGGTTGGAAGAGTCCCAGGGTCTGCTTTCCAGGGTGGGAAAATAACCTCCCCGCCACCCAGCTGCATTGCAGGGCAGTTCCCGGCGCCTTCCCTTTGCCCTGCTTGGCTGGGGCTCCTCCGGAGCAGGCGGTGATAATTTTAGGCAGTGAGATCAAACAGCTTGGCATGCGGCTCGCTCGCCGATTGGACAGCTTGGGGGTGCGTGAGCCTGTGATCTAACCCGGCCAGGGATAGCGCTGGACTCCGGCCGGGCCTGCTTGTTGTCTCTCGCTAATCATTGAAATGGCTGATGGCAGCCGTGGAATGGCTCTGGGGCTGCCAGGGAGCGAACAGACGTCCCCAGGGCTCCATCCTCCTGGAGTCCCTGCAGAGCGTCCCCCGCTCACCCCCTGCGACGTGGGAAGGTGGCGCCACTTTAGCCTTAAAACGCCTCCATTTAGGAATGCCCCAATCCGTGAGCAAATCCCCCCCCCCCCCCCGGTAAAGCAGCTGGGCTCGGCCTTTCATTCCCAGCGTGTCTGTAACTGTGCTGGGGGGGGGGAGAGAAAATGCTGGAAGACGCCCCCCCCGACCGCTTCTGCCTTTATTGATTTTTCATATTAGGACCCTTGCTGTGGTTCCTTTAAGAGGCTTCCATTCAGCCTTCCAGGCCCTCCGCTGCCAAGCATTGCCCCGACCCTAGGTTTGCTAGCCAGGTTTTCTCTTGTTTATCCCAGTTTCCCATAGCCACCCATGTGGGCTGAGCTCTTGAGCTGAGCGGAAGGGGGGTGGGGAGGGGGGAGGGAGCCGTGGTAACCCTTTCCTTGCTGTCTCAAATTGCCTCCGGGTGTTTTGGGGGTCACACCCCACCTGCGTCTCCTGTTTCGGGCTCGACGGGGATATTTTTCCGGTGAGGTTCCGCCAGCAAGGTGCTGAGCGCTCTGGATCCGATCCTCCCGGCCCTGAAGCACAAGCTTAACTTTTAGCACAGGAACAGTCCTATTGACTTAAGTGCGTGGCAGGATCGGGGCCAGCGCCCTCTACACCTTGCAGGATTGAACCCACTGGGAGAAAGGACTCGCCACCCACGAGGGGCCTGATTCTGACCTCGGTCACGCCACTGTAAATCATCCCCATTAAAGTCAAGGTGACAGATTCTCCGCCGGTGTAAGTTGGTATAGCTGATTGACACCCGCTAAGAGTCTGGCCCAGTGGCGTTAAATAGTATCAGATTGATGTAAAGAAGATCAGAATCCGCACTTAGCTCTTTGTAGCTGTAGGGGACTTGAACGTTCTTACACTCCATTTTCCTTGGGCCTAACATAGAGAAACAGCCTGGATCCAAATCTAGGGCGTGTCACACTTACACTTTTACACACCTGCACACGCGTGTGCACGCACACACACACACACAGTTTTTCAGACCAATATTTTCATGAAGTTCTTTTTAAATGCATTTTGTTTCTTGAATTGATGTCTTAAGACAGCCCATGCGTTGAGCAGTTATTCTATTCCTACAGACGGAGATGTTAAAACGGGCCTGTCCCCCCCCATGACTTTCACTGGGAGCTGGGCTCTAACCCTCTTTTTCTAAAATAGATGCTCTAATTCCGTCAGGAATTATTTCAGGGAAGGTGTCTGGCCTGTGTTACAAAAGAGGCCAGACGCGATGATCACCGTGGTCTCTCCTGGCCTTGGAATCTATGAATAAATCCTGTAGGCAATTTCAAAATACTCCCCCTACGGGCCTGACTGTCCGCTGACCTGCGCCGCGTGTCCTTATTTAAACCATCGCAAGGCTAAGATTACCATTCTGATCTGGTGCCATTTTACACCTTTTTTGTGCCAGGAGCAAATCACTGCACAGAGGACCTAGGGCTTTCTCTTCACTGCGAAAAAGGCGTGGCTTTCACACTGCTGTATCTAGCTCCCTGCAAAATCCTAGGGGAGATGAGGCTCGGGTCGTTTTTATCAACCCACCCTATATACCTCCCGCACCTGGGCTTGGCTTCAACTAGTTAACCTTGCGGAGCTGTTTATCCCGGTGCAAAGCAGGTGCAGATTGTTATAAATGGGGTAAATGACTGTGGGGCAATGGAGAATCTGATTTAAGGGCTGGTTTCCCCTCTAAAGTCTGCTCCACACGTAGTTTTTGTATGGCTTTAAAGCCGATCGGGGGAGTGACTTTTCTACTGAAACACCTCAATTGTTATTGCCTCTAGTGTGGACGCAGCTACGCTGGTATCATGTTGGGCTGTGTTTTGTTGTTCTTCATTTGAAACAATATTCATTGCAATATTAAAAATCCAGGGTCAACGGTTTTTGTTTCGTTTGAACAAGCCAATATTCCCCTGCCAAGTTTTCAACCCAAGATAAGCTGCTTGGTTTTATTATTGCTTCTAGTCCATTTCCTTTCCGGGTTCTCAGGCCCTACGTTCGAGCATTGCTACCCCCAGTATAGTGCAGGAGAGCCCGAAAGAGAAACTGAATACAAGTAAAAGTGAAATTTACCTTACAGCATTTGCCTGGTGTAGCTGGTAACTGGGGCCAGGCTCACCCTACAAATGTCAGTGAAGGGGGTGAAAAAAACCACACCCCAGAACCCCCAGAGCAGATGCTGCTGCCAGAAGAGAGCTTTTTTCAGGATCGCTAATGTCATTCGGGGAGGGGGTGTTGTTCTGCCAGAAGAACGGTGGCTGTCAGCATACGCTGGGGAGCGCTGATGGGGGAGCTGTTCTGACAAAGCATTTGTCGCCTAGGCAAGGCCTGAGAGTTTAAAGAATTCTTTCCGTTTTAGTGCCCACGGGCCAGAATGTGCACAAGCACCTAGCACTGCTTTGACACTTCAGGAAGTGCCCAGATGTTCAAACGAGCTCCGCACATTGCGTGCGGAGGTTTCCCCCCCTTTTTTTGTTGTTGCAAATCTTAGGTGCCTGAACGAGAGCTGAGCTCTTTAGAAAATCTGCCTTCGATCTCTCTGGGTCTCAGTTCCCCATCTGTAAAATGGAGCTAATAATCCTTCCGTTACCTGTTTTATCTATTTCCACTGTCAGTGCTTGGAGTCAGGGACTGCCTCTTGCTCTGTAGAGCTCCCAGTAGAACAGCGGCTTCTGATCTTGACTAGCCACAACCATCTTTGCTAGAGGAGCAGAGGTAGGAGTGAGCTGCAGGCTTCCCCGCCCTTGGGACCCCAGCTGCACATGCTGCTGTTGTTCGAATTAACCATTTGCCTGTTTTCCATAGGGCCTAGGAAGTCCTAGGGATTGGAGATCAGGGCTTGTGCTGGGCGCCGAGCAGAGTACGTCCATACACTACAGACTTCTGCCAGCGTAGTTATGTGGGTCGGGGTGTGAAGAGGTGGGTGATCTCTGGCCGACACGGGTGTGCTGGGAAAAGCCACCAGTGTGGATGCAGCTAATATCGGCATGTGGTTTTGCCCATTCCGCTCAGGTTTGGCTGGTATAAGCCGTGTCCGCACCAGGAACGCTTTGCTGGGTTAGTCTACTGGTATAACCACACTGGCAAGGCCTTCCTAGTCGAGACGTGGTCTGAGAGGCAGTCCCTGTCCCAGAAGGCTTACAATCTAAACGGACGGGACAGACCCAGGGCTGGGGGGACAGGATCTACCATACAAGTAGGGGCAAGAAGGTGACGGGCTGCAACCATCATGTTATGTTGGCTTGTTTCCCTTTGATTTGTGGGCGGGGTTTGTGG